TTTCCATAAAACCATACATACATTTTAGAGCAGTGGTGTCTTAATTTGCACATGACTACATCCACCTTGTGATTAATGATTAGAAAGCCCTCTTCCTTTTTTCATTAAAGCTATTTTTGACATCCCTGTAAGTTAGATTATTAAAAGGACATGACATCCCATGTAAATTCAGCATAAAAGTGCTTAGCAAGAAGAATGAGGTTTGGAAATGAGGGAGAGAGGGACTGAAGTTTTATCAGGCATTCATAGAGTATAGCATTGAATACTTCAATAGGCGTCTTCCTGAGTGTTTTTCCTTCAATACTTATTTTTGTAATGAGATAAAGAATATTATTTCCCTTCCACATTCTGCCTTTTGTTAGTGCTTTGGCTCTACGGCAAGGATCTGCAACCTTAAACACTCAAAGAGCCATTTGCACCCACTTCCCACAGAAAAGAGAACACCACGAACCAATAATTTAACAACCAGTGTGACTGGGTGGTCATGGCCAACTCTATGTCACTCGCTTCCACCCAGTCACTTCCTGCTCTGGAATATGGAGCGAGTCTCCATGCCCGCCAGGCAAGGAGTGACGGAGAGAGGAGGGGCCAGCCAGTGGTGGGATCAGCCAACAGGGAGCCGGAGCAGAGGGCTGAAAGAGCCGCATGTGGCTCCAGAGCCACAGGTTGCAGACCCCTACTCTAGGGGGTACCTGCTTTATCCTAGCAAGCTGTTGCAATGCCATGGCTTCTTAAGAATCTAGATAAGATATTATAATTCTATTATGTCTCTTCTTTCCTTTAAGATAAAGTCTTCTTCAAGCTGAGGTTGACCCTTGGCAAATTTTTGGCAACAATACAGAAGCAATTTTTCAATTGCTTTTTTTTTTTAACTGCCCAGCTTGCAGTCCTTGTATTTCCAGTTGATTTCTTATTCACATACAGTACTTTTCAGGTCTTAATCCTCTTAGTTAGACCTTCTTTGCATTAGGACCAAAGTATCTAAAAACTGAGATAAAAGGGACAAATGGAGAAAAACAAACCTCATAGACTTCTAATATAGCCAGTTTTGAGTCACAGAAGGAAAAGTAGTGTCTCACCCACTATTAGGAGGACTTTCAGAAGCATTGTTTCTCCTTAAGTTTTCCATAATACTTTTGTCCATTTCTTGGACTCTGTTGTCCAGATTTTATTTATTGATGGTATGCATACCCTGTTACAAGCCAAATTATCTCTCAGCAGTCAACCTTGAACATCTTGAGTTTTTCCATCAGAATTCTAGAGTTGGATGAGTCACTGAACTAACACATATGAATTAATGCATTTCCAACAAATGTGTCTCTAGCCCAGGGGTGTCAAACTCGCAGTGTCACACTGGTGTCATATGACATATTATGAGTTTCCCCCTATTTGCCAAATCGGGCGTGGGTGTGGCCAGCACATCATGCATTCAGCCCATGGGCCGCAAGTTTGACAGCCTTGCTCTAGCCATTGTCTGAACATTATCCACTGAGGGGAAGATAATTGTTTTAACTATATGCCTATCTTTCGGGTAGGAAGAGTTTTAAAAAACATTAATTTTAAATCTTGTTTTCTCTTACACAAAGTCATTTTGCTGTATTTTACATTTCAGGAATGATGGAGAATAAGTCTTAATTTTCTTGACCCCCTCCCGCCAATTTTTATCCACCCACCATGTTTAGATAGACAGAAAGTAGAGAGAGCATATCTTCTCTCTCTCTCTCTCTCTCTCTCTCTCCCTCCCTCCCTCCCTCCCTCCCTCCCTCCCTAAAATATCTTCTCATTATAGGGAGTCTGCTGAAAGGTAAAATGAGGGGAAAAACAAAACTATTATTGTGAAAGTCCTTAAAAATAAAAACATTTTAAAAAAAAGATGATTTGCAAACATTCTACATTATTTGGCCTTTGAACGTTGTAAAAAAAGCTGCTATGAAATATGGGACATATACTAACTCAGCTGAAACCACAATGCCCTCAGATCAGTTACTGAATGACTGTACCTTAGAGGCGATTACAGACAAAAGTACTGAAACTGAAGTAAAATTAAAACTTATGTGGTGAGAAGAATTTTAGTTTCACTGGCTAAGGTTAGGGAAAGTGGATTTCACTAATACTGTCATTTGAGTAATCTGACTTTGGTATCTCGAAATAAATGACTAGCACATTGCACATTGCACATGAAATATTCTATTGGAAACTTTATGGTCTGTAAAAATGGTGACTGACTTAGAGGGAAATATATGTTATCAGGACCTAACTTCCCTTTATGAGATCTATTTAGGCACAAAACAAGCCAGCTCAATGACATGATTAAAAAAAATTTTTTTTTGCTGTGGCATTTTATCCTTGACAAAAAGTTAAGGTTTTACTATAACTTTTGGCTCCTTCTTCTCCCTTTATGCTTTCTCTGCATGCGTCTTCCCAATGATGAAAAATGAAATGACTCCTGTTAGCTGCCCCTTAATTTTGAGGAATATAAAATAGTTTCTGAACCTGCATTCAAAAGTGGCAAAAGTGACTGTATCTAGAGTTAGCTTTGAGCAAAAGGTGTTAGTTGCTCTACCAGTTAATGCTGTAAAAGACATGTGGATCTGAATATAACTGACCATTAAACAACATTCAATTAGAAGCTGAGCATGATGTGGAAAAAGCACATTCCCTCTAAATTTAAACAGACACAGACTCTTAAGTATTCAGACCTTTTAATCAACATTACCTCGTTTTTATATATATTACATCCAGATTTTGCATCTGCAACAACTTCAAACTGCTTTAAAATAATAAATGACAGGTTATAGCACCCTTAATGTGCCTTTTCTTTTAAAAACAGAAAGAAATTGCAAAATGATAAGGATAAAGTTGATAATGATATTGATAAATGATAATCTTTGATGTGTTTCCACTAAATGGAAAACGACCAGGTTTTTTTTTAAAAGAAAATTTATTAAATTGTCAAAGTATTTGAAGATGATAAAAATTCAAATGTAAAAGTAAGGTTGCAATATTAAAATGTTCTGAATAGACTGAATTTAGAAGGTTGTAATATTAAAACGTCTCTGAAAATAGAAATAGAACACTTTGCAATTTTTTGGTATTTGTGTGTATGTAGTTATAAGGTATATATGTTATGTATATACACATGTGCATGTGCTTATATTTTATATGAGCACACACATATAAAATGTACATATAGACGGTAAGACAAGTTACCCATTAAACATTTCCTGGCACAGGGAAAAATGGAGAATTTTAAAGTTCTCAGGTCCCATTCTTAGAACATTTACATTTTTTTAAAAAAATCAGCTAATGCTTTGAAGGATCAGCTTTTCATCTGCAAGCATTATCAACTATGTTACACTCCTACTATACAGCACAACAACCTAGCTAAAGCCTTCTTTTCAGTATTTTAGTGACTTGATGTGCTATAAAGCAGATTCAACATATTCTTTGTTTAGAAATTACTCCTGGCATCTAAGGCCTATAATTTGGGGATAAACAGAGACACATTATTATCTAATCTGACTATAAAAGCTTTAAAAATCCTAATTATATTAAGAGAGTTGAGTTAGATGAAATTTCTATAATTCTATACCCTGAAGAAAAATAAAAAGTGCTTGTACAGATCAGTTGCAAGCAATGAAACTGTCACTAGAGGAAGGTTTTTTCCATTTCCCCCCGTTTCCTCCCCTCATCTGTTTCCTATGCAGTTGGGAACATTTTTATTTTAGAACCATGGATGACATATCTGATGTCTCTGTCATTTAAGCTTCACATCTTTGGGAGGGACAGAAGGCCAGCTAGATTAAGAATTTTCTCAATTTCAAATTCCAAATGACGATACTATAATAGATAAGATTTTTCAATGAGCTGAACTAGATAGTTTAACACTAGAATTGAAAGACCAAGATAAATTAGAATATTATAAACTATTGAACAAACTCTACACATGGAGGGACATGAAAGGAAGTTCATAAAATTGAAATTAGAATTTAAAGCGAAATAGAAATGAGATATAAGAATAAGATCTAAAATGGTGCAAAGTTTAATTGTATAGATGTATATATGTATATAAATGTTATTTTCTTTTCACCTTTTTAATGTAAAATGTAAAGACTGAAAGGTATGTCAAAGAAAGTCTACCACGTTCAATATTTTTAATGTTTATTTTCAATAAAAAAAATCTGAATAAAAAAAAAAAGAATTTTCTCAATTCCTCAATTGAGAGGTTCAGATCCTCCTGTGATATTCCAAAAAATAATGGAGAGGGATACAAATCTAAAAATGAATCTTAATTTATGGGTGTGGGGAGGAGGGAGGCTCCCACTTGAATTTTAGAATGAGGTTACTTCTCCAAATGTATTAAGGGTGCAACCCATTTACAGAGTTTTTAATTTTTAAAACACATATGATTTCATGTTTTCAAAACACGAGAATGTCTACTATAATCAAAACTGTCATCTAGTAAATTCTCAGTTACCATGCTTCTGCAAAATTCAAAACTGATTTCCTTAAAATGACAATGACTTAAGGATTCCACTGTTGATGAAAGGAATGAATGGATAAATGGATAAACTGTAAAAAGTATGGTTCTTTGAATCAACCAATTTTATAACCTAATATGGAAAAGTTTATAAGGAAATATATTGGACCAGAGTTCCATATCTAACTATGCCTCATTAAAAAATTTCCACAGTAATTTCACATATTAAAAAAACCTGAAGGCTTAATAACATTCCTGCTTCTAAGCTTTGCTGTCAGAGAAAAAAGTACTCAAGAATCTTACAAAATGACAAAATTACTCCATTTAGTTTTAAAGAGGCAGTAACAGTACTTCAGATTTAATTTATTCAAAGCTTAATGCTAACTGATAAATTACATTTTAAAATGCTTTCACAGGAACTACACAGATTATTGAGTTCCCTTTCCCTCCCCTTTAGGAAAAAGCTTCTTTCTATAACCCTTTTCTTTTTAATAAAACAGAAATCAAAAGTAGGACTTACATGTAATTTTCCCAGAATCTGTGCTGGCTAATACTCTCACGAAACAGGGAAGTGGATATACGGAGAAATTAATCGATTACAGAAATCCATGAAGATATGAACACTGAAAGATTCACAGGATGATCTTCTGGCTGTTCAGCAATCTAAAGTACAACAACACATTATTGAGAAAAATGAGTTTTCTCTGCCTTTACTTTCCCATATTAGTTTTTAACATCAAATTAATATGACATACAGGTAATGCATTAAACCTACATTTTGTTATCTATGCTTATAGTTTCATTAAAGAGATTACTCAGTGAATTTACATTTACAGGATATGTTAATGGTAGCAATGCTAGTCTTTTCAATAAAATGCTCAAGAATTACAAACTTATCTTCAATAAAAAAAATACAGCTTTCCTGTTATCCATTTGTGATCTGCAAAAGCTGAGTCTGTAGTTTAGCAGTAGTAAGTTCTAAAATGCCGCTCTGTACAGGCACAGAATATAGAGATAGAAACAGAGAGAGAGACCATCAAAAAGAATGAACTAGCCAGGCTGCCTTTTAATATCCTGCCTAAGCATCTCAAAATGATATTAGCAAGTAGATAAAAACAGAAATTTTAATATATTTTGAAGCGTATTTCAATAACCTCATGGAAAGATGGGAAGCAAACAAATTTAATAATTAATAAACTTTAATAATACATTAAAGGTATTAATAGCTAATAATATTTCAACATAATTCATACAAACACTTTTTCACATCACCATTAGTCATCTAACTGGAAAATTCATGATGCACTGTTGTAGCATATCTTATCCATATTATGATTTCTCATTATGTGATGTTTACAAATGAATTGTGTGGATTGAAGTCTATTGAAAGACTTAATGGTTAAGGTGAAATTGATACTTTCTCTGTTACAGCTGATTCAGGCATAACACTCTGTTACTTGTAGCCACAGAACCATTTCCTTGAACCATACAGCATTCAGAGTTTTAGGTAAAATTTGATATAAAAATATTCTGGTAGAGGATTGCTGTGAATCTATATGGGAAGAAAAGAAACTTTGGCTCCAGTTTGATATTTTAAAATCAAATAATCACATTTGAGCTGAAATTACTTGGCATTTTCCAGAAAATATTTATGAACAGTAACTGTCTTTTTCTCATTTTTTTTATCCATTCAGAAATGGAGCATTAGGGTGGGGTTGGATTTAAGGGAAGAAAAAGATACATTTGTGATAATGCAAATGAACAATCCTTATGTTTGTGTCAAATGCTTCGATGCAAATATTGTATTGTTTGCATGATGATAACTGGTATGTCTGTAGTCATTCTGACATCACTTTGGCTTGTTGAGCAATTGAACTGAACAAAAAGAAAAAAAAAAACATGACTGAGAGAAGAACAATTCCACAGCAGCAAAACCATTATGTTTCTCTAGATAATTAATACTGGAAAATATTAAATAGAATCATTTCTACGAAAAGCACAGTTTGGTTTTGTCCTTCTTAGAATGAATGCCCGTTTAATTCACAAATAAAGTATAGGAAAAGAAGCTGAACTAGAAAATGGAAATTCTGCCTTAAGACGAATGGGATAGGGATAATAAAAATAAAAGCTGCTTTGAAAAGAATTCTCTCTTGTATTGCTGTTCTCAGAATGGTAAAAACAATACATCTGCAAAATATTAAGTATCTTGTTAAAAAGAAAAGACAACTAAAGTGTTTAGTTCAGGGCTTAAAAGAGGACTAGGAGATTTTGAACACAGCTCTGCTTGCTTTCAAGAATTTGCAATTGTTCCAAAATATTGAAAGAACGAAAGAGAAGTAAATAGGAAGAGATAAACATCTATAGTACAACGTTGGGCTAAAACTCCCAGCCAGTGCAGGGCATACTGACTGTAAATTCTGGAAGTTTCTTTCCACACATCTGGAACACATCAGGTCAGGAAAGTCTTGTCCACCACATAGTAGTCATAAATATGGTGAGTCTGCATCCTAGCTATACATATATAGCCAAGTTCATATAACAGACATACTGTTTAGTAGTTTGAGGCCATGTAATTTTTCCCCTCTACAAATCAAGCCATACATTGGTGTTTTGATTGCAATGTAGTTAGAAAATGAAAATAATCGTAACAATCCATCTTCTATTAACTGTGTTCAATTAAGAGTAACACATACCTATATAAACCACCAGGAGGCACTAAAAATACCTCACAGGATATACTGTATATTGTGTAAAAACTGTCCCCTTTCCCTCCAAGAAGGGTGGAAATCATATAAAACCTCACATATAGGGACGGATATGTTACATCCCAGCTCTCTCTCTGAGAGCTTAAGGGTGGGGGCAAGTTTGCACTATTCTGATGTAGCAGACCTGTGGTTACCAGTTCAAAAGACTTAAGATGTAAGTTATATTTATTTTATTTTGTTTTGTTTATACATCAAATTTAGAAACTGCCCATCTAACTCACAGAATACAATTAAAGACAAAAAAATATCCAAAACCATTTAATTATTATGGTTTATGTTATGCAGACTTTAAATACCACGGAAAGACAGATTTCAGCCATTCTTCTCTCTATCCCCTTTTAAAAACAGGAGACTATTTTATGAGATGGGTAATATGATGCAGGAGGTTTACAACCTGAGAACTAACCCTGCAATGTTCTTGGAAGGATGACAGATGTTCACTGGTGTAAAAGCCTGGGATTGAATCCCAAACAGTGCACTCCCTTATTGCAAATGTTTCACTCTCCATTTCTCTCCCTGTGTCCCCTAGATATCTCTGCACTGCATTGAGCAAGCCAATACATATCAAATTTAACACATGATCAATAAAATGAAAGCTGGAATTCTCTGCTCAAGAGGTCATGCTAGGCTAAATTGTAACTTAACCAAGTCCCAAGGCATAGTGTCTCCTCTAAGCTGATTCCGTGTTTCTATTTTATACAGCCATACTGAAATATAAGAATAGCTGACAGAAATCACTTTTTTTCATGGTAAAAATAAATTACCAACCATGAGGTTATAGTTGCAGTATAGCCAGAAATATTATTTCACTAGTAATACAAGTGAAAAACACGATTTTTCATAGAAAACAGTTTCTTACTTCACAATTCAAGAGACAGACTACAGGAGAATAATTGGACAGCTTCCTTCAAAAGTCTACATCCTTAAAATCAGCAGTTCCCAGTCAGGTGCCCCACAGATATATTTATTACAACGTTCATCAACTCAACGCATATCTATCAACTGTTCTGGCTAGAGATGATGGATATTGATAGAAATTGTAGTTTAACACAAATAATCAAAAACCACCATGTGGAAAAAACTTTGCACTGAAAAAATTACTTTAGATAGACACACTACAGGTAGTCCTTGACATGTCCACAATTGAGCTCAAAATTTCTGTTGCTAAGTGAGACATATGTTAAGTGAAGTTTGCCCCATTTTATAACCTTTCTTACCACAGTTGTTAAGTGAATCACTGCAGTTGTTCAGTTAGGAACACTGTTGTTAAATAAATGTGGCTTCCCCATTGACTTTGCTTGTCAGAAGGTTGCAAAAGGTGATCAAGTGACCCCAGGACACTACAACCATCATAAATATGAGTCAGTTGCTAAATGGCTGAATTTTGATAATGTGACCATGGGGATGCCACATGGTCAAAAACAGGAAAAACAGTCATAAGTCATTTTTTTCAGTACTGTTGTAACTTTGAATGGTCACTAAATGAACTGCTGTAAGTCACAGACTAGTCTACATTAGCTTTCCTCAGAGCTTTATACAATGCTTTCATTAGTGAGTCTCCCTGCCTATCCTATTTGTAATAAAAGACATATAAATTAATAATTTAAAATTTACATTTTAGATTAAAGCTGAAATATGTCATTCCACACCCTCTGGCACTTACATACCAATAGTCATTGCCTTGCTGCCTGCCAATTTCCCAATTTCATCCGGATCTCCAAGATCACTTAACAAACAAAATGGATGAATGTTATTTTTTTACTCTAATCAATACCCTACTTAAGGAACTACTACTAAGAAGAAAGCCAAGTGGCCACCAACAGTGGCAGGTCGAGTTACTGTATATAAACAGAGAACAAACTCCACATTCACAAGCATTGATGATGTTACCCATTGGGTAATGAAATGTCTATAAGCAAACAACAAACCTCAAAAAGCACCCAGGACTCAATCATTTCATGAGTTTCACTGAACAAGTTTAAGCATTGAAAAATATTTTTCCCACCAAGACTTTTAAGCTTTTCCCCTATAGAAATTAGCTATTAATACTAGCCTACAGAACTAGTCCTACAGTTCCCAAAGTTCTTCAAAACTTTAAGAACAAATTTTAGGTGGCTGTGTTTAAACTATAGCAGATGCTCATGCTTAGATGAGCAGCAAAGTTCAATTTATTATACAATTGCTAACTATTGATCATCTCATACCAATCATACTAATTCCAACAGAACAAAGTGAAGGAAATATTCCCCTGTTCTGTTCCTTTTAGAGTTTAATAGAGAAATTTCTCTCTGAAATAACTTTCTCTGCATAATTCAGTTCAGCAAGTCACAGGGGTTTTACTATTCTATTTAATTTTGAGAGCAGTGGATAAAGGCATGTTTACAGCAAAGCATTATGTATCTCCACATTTATTTAAAGGAATTCTCACACAGGCTTTCTAAAGAAGAAAAAATGATTTAGTAACAGAATATAGTTTACAGGAACTTGCTAAAAACTAATAATTTAGTTTCAGTTTTATGGCAACAACTCTATGACTGGTACATAGTATTTCTTTGTTCAATGCCATCTGACAAACGAGTGTTAAATCTTGCAAAAACAAAAACAAAAACAGAATGAATAACTTACCAGTCATATATTGTAAAGAGGTTCAAAAACTGTAGTTTAAGCATAGCTATGCTATTGTAATTTTGTGGAATCCTGCCATTTTTAACCGGAAATATATTCTGAGAATTAACCTGAATGTCAATAGAAATAGATTACCCTTTTATATTTCATCACCTGAACATTTAAGTTACCCTTTCAAAGAACTGTAACTATACCTGTTGAATCCAGTTTAAACCCAAATAACATATGATAATCCGTTTAAGGTACTTAAAAGAGAATGGTTTACTTCATTCA